TGCCTGGTAATGACTTACCCTGGTTTCTTTTCAAGGACCCCCTGAGAGCAAACCAACGGGACAAGCAACGAGACAAGAGAACGTGGCTCATGGCTGGTCTCAGGGAGACACTACCACCCTGTTTCATGAAGGTTTTGAGGAAACCTAGAGCTATTAAGCTTCCGAGTTTCACCATGGTTGGCTGTCCATGTACACACTCTCCTTACCATCCGCTTTCCTAAGTGTCCTAAGTAAATGCAGAGGAAACTGGCCTTCCCAGGGGCTTTGGAGGCACCGGGAGGATCTGCTTCTACTCTTCCTCCTCCTCCTCCCTCCCCCTCATCATCATCACCATCATTGCTATCGTTTATTATGTGCTTACTACGTGTCCAGCAGTAAGGTTTTCTGTATATTTAAGTCTCACAACAATCTTATGAGTAGCTTCCATCAACTCTTTTTCAGATGATGAGGTGTCTGTCTCAAGGTCACACAATGAGGAGCAAAGTCTGGGTAACACACGGATCTATTTAACTCCAGAGAATGTGTTCTTAACTACAAAGCTAAACTCTTGCCTTAAAAGATTTCCAATGGGGCTTAGGATCATGGAACAATGGCCCAGATGTGTGGATCTAAGATAAGCCTGTATTTACATAAGGCCATGGGGTCAAGATTTAGAGGTTCTTAATCTGGGGTCCATAGACTCCTGAGTGTCTAAAAATAGATTTTGGAGGGTTTGTAATTTCCTAAAACAGGAGTCAGCAAATTTTTTTATTAAAGCACCAGAGAGTTAACTTTTTTAGGCTTTGCAGGCCATATGGTCTCTGACACACTCATCTTTGCTGTGGTTGTACAGAAACAGCCACTGACAATACACAAATGAACGGTCAAGGCTGTGATCCAATAAAACTTTATTTATAAAAGTAGTCTCTGAAATGGTATGCAAATTCTATGTGCGTGCATGCATAGTTATCTTTATTGTTGCTACTAGGAGAAAATCCATAGTTTTCTCCAGCTTCTCAAGTGGGTTCAAAATCCAACATGGCTAAGAACTGGTCAAATGGTCTCCAAGCCCTCTAAACTTCGATTTCCAGGATTCTGTGGTTCTACATGCCTTGTAAATTAACACTCTCCTAGACAGTCTTTCTCTTTAGCAGGTCCATTTGGTGAATTCTGCTATGAAATCTTACTTGGACTATAATGGCTATCTGTTGAGAAGGAAACGTAGACCACATTACCATTCCATTCTCCCCTGGCTTACCTGGCCAGATGATACTGGCTGCAACACAAACACATTCCAGACTAGAATACCGCCGCGCAGTCCTGCATGAGCAAGTCTGAGGTTCGCTGAAGCTTTTTCCTCTTCCCACTTTCTGTGTCCCATTGGGCCTTCTCCACAGAAAAGACCCATTTGTTCTGCTATGAAGTTCAGATTCCTGGAGTCAGCCAGGTCTGCCCAGGTTGGGTGTGGAGGTGTGTGTTTGCCAGATGCACCTCTGCATCTGTCCAGGGACCCTCTCCTAAAGAAACAGGGTCCTTTCTCTGAAGATTCCCCAGCTTCATGAGTTAGAGCATCTAATGTACTGCCTGCCACGATACCGACATGAACCTTGACCCTGCCTTCCACTTCATGTGACTTGCCTTCCCCTGACCAGACCCTTTAGGTGGAGATTGCTGATTGTATCCCACTGTGCCTAGCACAGAGCCTGACCCCATGCTTTGCATGTGTTTTTTAGGTTATCAGCATGGAGATCCCTGACATCTACAGCCAGTTTTAAATTCTTGCATCACTTCTGAAAATCAAAATAATGATTATCCGGGCCACTTGAATCAAATGCAGAATCAACTGCTTTAAAATTTTAGGGGAAAAAAAAGGATATATTAAAATAAGATAGAACAAATGATATGAATCATAATGTGATTGCATTTATATTGCAGGTTTAGGAGAATGGAGAATTGGGCATAGGGGAAGAAGCAGGAGAACAAATAAAAGAGGAGAAAGAAATGACAGAGGAGAATGAAACAAAACGAATGAAGAAACAAAGAAAGAAAGGATGAATGTAGTCTGTAGCTAACCTACTACTGCTCAGTTGATATTCAGTGTCATTGTGATGCAGCTATTTCTCACAGCAAGAACCCCCCAAAGAAGGAAATAAACCAGCAAATAAAAATAAGGGGAATATAAATCATTTAGCCAGTACTCGTGGAGACTTTACTCCATATTAGACTCCTGCATATACCACATCAGGATTAATATTAGCTCTCCGAAATGAAACATCAATAACAGGACCACACGGTGCTGACTGTATTGCCAACTAATATTTCAGTTCAGATTTAATTATGAAGTTCATATGGCAGCAGCGTGGTGCTGCGTAAATAGAAGTGGTCATAGAAGGCCTGGGTCTTGTCATGGCATCTCATTATGTGATTTTGGTTGGCCAATCTCCATGCCTCAGTTTCTTTTTTATATATATGGTATTGACTTCAGAAAGAAAGGGAGAAGGGAGAGAGATAAGAAACATCAATGATGAGAGAGAATCATTGATCGGCTGCCTCCTGCATGCCCCCTACTGGGGATCAAGCCTGCAACCCAGGCATGTGCCCTTGACCGGAATCGAACCCGGGACCCTTCAGTTCACAGGTTGACATTCTATCCACTGAGCCAAACCAGCTAGGGCATGCATCAGTTTCCTCATTTGTCAAAGGTGAATAAGAATTCCTTGCTCTGCATATTTCACAAGGGTGTTAGGAGGATGGAAAGTGGATATATACTCATTCTATACATACTTGGATGAGTAGAAAATACTAGATAGATGTAAAATGGACTTTGTTCTTTTTACTTAACATAGTAATGGGTAGGTGGGGCCGGGGGGGAGTGGGGATGATGGCATTTTGCACAGAAGGCTTGGTGACTCAAAGAAGTGTCTTTCCCTCCCATCTGTCCTAGGATTATTACTGCTTTCTTAGTGTTTTTAGACATGCTTCTCCTCTTCAGAAATGCCAAAGGTGAAAAATACTATTCCTCTGTATAATTTGTCACCCTTGCTGCCTGAGCAAAACGAGCATAGACAGTTTGGTAATTAAGCTTTTCAACACTGCATCATACAGTTTTATCCCGGCAAAGGCTATATTTATCAGATAACAAGTATTAAATCACCCCACTGCTCAAGTCGTTTCTCTCTTGAATATGCTCCTTTCAAAAACAGAGCAGCTTTCCTTGGCTGGCGTGATTAATAAACGTTCTTGTTTGGAAATGTCGTAGTGCAGTGTGGGCCTGTGGGGCTGACATACATACACCTTGGCAACCGTTCCAAACGGTGCTGACCCCTCTTTCCCAGGGGAGCCGATACCTTAGCCCTGGGTCTCTCAGGGTGACTGGGCCACCTGAATTTCACAGCCGGCTGGGATGGCTTCCAGCACAGGATAACCCCATATCCATTTCATTTCTGCAGGAACAGGAGTGAATGAAAGCGAAGAACATAAACATTTGATACATTTTTTCTTCCTTATCTGGGCATCAGGGAATTAGCCGGCTCCTATCAGAGACAGATCTAAATGTAAAACGAGTTTTAAAAATGATTAAAATAGCAAAGTAACAATGATCTACATACAGAATTATTAGGGAAACACAGAATGAATAGATATTGAAAGCCATCAGTAATGGCTTAGGAGAGTTCTGTCCTTATGTATCCCATCCCACCTTTACAAATTGTTTTGTTTTTCTCTTCTGTGGAGGATACACATTCATGAGACAAATATAACCTTGTTCTTAAAACTTCAGGATGCTCTCAGTCAAATGGCTCCAGAATAATATTAATAATATTAAAAAAGTAGTTAATACATTTGAATGACTTTTCTACCATGTTTTAAGGATAAAGCCAAAATAAAGACAATGTTAACCAAATATGGGCCCAAATGATGAAAGAAGTCTCAATGTTTTCATCACATCATACAGAGATCACATTAATTTTCCTTTTTCTTTCTCTGCTTTCAAAAAGAAGTGTCATTAGCTACATGGAGGCATTTCTGTTTCTCATCAGTTGGTTGCTAAAAGGACACAGGTAATCACATTCCATAGGATCACAAAGCCCACTTTGTAGCTACATAAGCAAGTTCTGCCCAGGCCTGTGCATGTGTATGTATGATTAGTGGGCATGTAAGTGTGAAACTTTGGGTTACTACCAAGATAAAGAGTCTTTCATTGAACTATTCTTAGTTTGAAAGGGCACAACAATTTCTTTCCTTTCAAAATCATAAAATAGAACTCACCATTTTGCTTTTCAAATTAGCAACAAGTCGCTTATTTGGAAGGCTGGGGATTAATTTCTCTCAGCCAGCAGGTCACTGGGTTGTCACTAAAGCATGCGACAGCCATTAAGTTGGCAAATATTGAACTATTTGAAGTGCATCTATTTTCTGGTTCAGTACATTTTTTTTGGTTGCATTAAATTCATTAAACTTGACCCAGTCTAAATGCCACAGCACATACTGGATCACACAGACTGAAACAGCAGCAGCCGTAAGAGATAACAAAAGGTAAAGATCAATATGTTTTATATGTCATAACAAGATTGGAGTTTTTAAGGTTAAAAAGTACTGTGTGACTTGGAAAGTCAAGTTGAATCGGGTTATTTTCTGAAAATTTGAAGAGAGGTTACTTCGTCAGTCAAGTTGCGCTCCAAACTGCGATCCTAGAGACAAGGACGTCTATGACCTACAATTCAGGATCATTTAATAACTTGGGAGAGAAACGAGAAAGAAAATTACACTCTGTTATTCACAGTTTGGAGGGACCTTAAAGTTCAGCATTTTGCAAAAATATTGAATCAAGGGCATACTTGAAGATTAAAAACGAGCCTGTGATAATGATTATTCTTTATTTGGAAGCAAAACTTTCAAAAGAATAATAAAGGTTTGGGAACATGAACTGTTACTTTGATTTGACAAAATTTTTTGGGATTGGTTAGCCCTACTTTTCCTCCATCAAGGGGTAGTCATGGCAACTCAGAAAGGTGACAAAGGTATAAGATCCAAGAAATTTTTATTCTAGCATCGGTTGTAACTATCAACATTATAAAATTGATTTTTTACTCCATATGAATAAATGACAAGTGAAGAACAATTTTCCGGCAATTTCTCTGAACAAAACAGAAAACAAAACAATCAATAACTGAAAATTGTGAAAACAAAAACCTAAAGTACATGTAGATGATAAGAATACAGATACTAAATAGGCTTACTGGGATGATGACTTCACAAGTTCTATAAATGTCTAGTCACTATGTTGTCCAACTAAAACTAACATAACATTGGGTGTCAGCTGTAACTGAAAAATTAAAAGAAAGAATACAGGTACTAAATATGGTTCTTTAAAGCTTCCAGAACACACAGGGCAGAAGCAACGCAGCCATCGAAATTGGAATGAGTGAATCCATCCCCTCCACACACAAGGAGAGGTTTCAGATGAAGAGTCATTTGGCCAGGAGAGTTGGCAGCAGCATTTGTAACCTGGGGGGAAAAAAGTGTGGGGAGTGTAATTACAATTGACATTCTGTGTTCTGTTGTGCTATCCTGTCAACACCCACCTGGGGAAGGCTTCTCCATCTGGAGAAATCAAGATGTCTCAAAGGAGCAACAGGAAACAAAACCAAGACCCCCTATGCTTCCCCCTCATCCAAGTGTTTACAGTGACATCCTTACATGTTTGCATTTTCAATTATTTGATAAGATAATCAGAAGTTCATTGAACTTCAATATTAGTATCTCATGATATGCCCAATTAGTTGAAAGTACAGTGATTTTTTTTTATAAGAAGGAAATTATAGTCACAGAATCATTCACCGATTATCAAGTTGACAAATAAAAATTGAATATATTTAGGGTGCACAACTAGATGTTTTGATATGCGTAGACACTGTGAAATAATCACCATAATCAAGCTAATTAGCATATCCATCATCTCACATAGTTACTTTTTTTTTGGTGGCACACTTAATGATCTATCATCTTAGCAGATTTCACGTATACAATACAGTATTGTTAACTATAGTCAGATTCGATCTCCAGGACTGTCATCTTATAACTGTAACTGTACCCTTTGACCAACATGTCCCCATTTTCCCACCCACCAACTCCTAGCAATCACCATTCTACTTTCTGTTTCTATGAGCTTGACTCTTTTAGATTCCACCTACACGTGAAATCATGCCATAGTATTTGCAATTCCAGAGCCAATAATCTTGAAATCAGCAGAAGAGATCATTGAGTGGCTAAAAGAGAGACACTAGAGGACAGACTCGGGCACTCGGTCAGAGCTTTTATACTCCTGCTTTGGATGGAATTTTAACAAGTCAGATGATTTGATTTGTCAGTGAAGCACTAAGGGAGGAAGAACACTGTTAGGTTTTTATATAAATTAGCAATTTCAGAATGTGACAACTGAGAGTCCAGGGACATTTAGTGAAGGGACAAATAACTCTCTGGCTCCTAATAGGCCCCAAGGGTGCCAGCTTATTAATTTTCCTGTAATCATTAATGTTCACAATAATAGTCCCAATATTCAAGATTCAATTCTAATGTGCACAAAGTATTCATTGTTAGCTCTGCTTGAATGTTTACTGATACCAAATGCTTTACATGCACACCCCATTGAATTCACACAGCAACCCTATTAGGTGGTTACACTTATTCTCATTTTATAGATGAGAAAGTTGAGACTCAGAAAGATTGTTGCTTGTCCAAGGACAGAAAGCTAAGAGGTGAAGAAAAAGGAATTCAAAGAGTGCAGGCTAAATCTGGAACTCACATTTCTAACACTTTTGGAAATATTTGCATAAAGACTAGATTTAAAATGTCCATACTAGCCCTGGATCGTGGTGTCAGTGGTTAGAGCGTCGGCCCACATACTGAAGGATGATGGGTTTGATCCCTGGCCCAGGTCTGGGTGCCTACAGAAGGCAACCAATCTATGTGTCTCTCTCACATCAATGTTCTTCTCTGTCCCTCCCCCGCTTCAACTCTCTAAAAATCAAGGGGAATAATATTCTCAGGTGAGGATTAACAAAAAGATAAAATAAAATGTCCATTACTACTCAAAGCAATCTATAGATTCACCACAACTCCTATCAAAGTACTAACGGTATATTTCACAGTGTGATAGTATAATTTACAAGAAATATATATTTGGTTATTCAGATGATCAACATATATTTTCCATATATATCGGGTCTTGTCCACTATTCCGGACTCACAGCTCCCCAAACCCTTGGAATTTCTGAAGTGTTGAGAGTGATAAAGTTGCCCCTTGTTATGTTAATGAGGTGACTTTTGGAAAGTCAAAAATTAAGGATGGGGGCTGGTGCCAGTGGAGCCAACCCTGTGATTAGAGGGTTGGTATTTTCAGTCCTACTAGCCCGCCCCCCAACTCCAGGGAGGGGACAGGGGCTGAAGATGGAGTTCAATCATTAGTCTTGTAGGACTAAACTCTTAACCTGTGCAATCTGATGTTACCTCTGGGTAGATGTGTCAGAATTGAATTCCTGGATATCCTGCTGGTGTCTGAGAATTGTTTGTTGGTTTGGGGGGACCCCCCTCAATGTTGGAATTGGTACCAATTTAGACCTATTTAGAGAGTCACATAGTTTTGTGCATCTGGAAGATTCATATAAATGAAGTAACACATTCATATACGGCAGTGGTTCTCAACCTTGGCTGCACATTAGAATCACCTGGGAATCTTTTTAAAATCCTGATTTCTGGGCCTCATTCTCCGGAAATTCTGTTTCTTTGTTACTAATGTTGTGGCCTTAAAAAGATTCCCAGGTGATTCTAATGTGCAGCCAAGGTTGAGAACCACTGATATATGGATATATACAAACACATGTTTATACACATGTGTCTATGTATAATTTTTAAAACAAAACAAAAATTTGATAGCCACAGCTTTATGGATTCAGAAAATTCATATAAATGGGATAACCCATTTATATGTATTCATATATATATACATATGTGTGTCTATCTATGTATAATTTATACACACACATATAAATCTCCATTTGTGATCAAGTTTTGATACATTCTAGTTGATATCCCTCTATTGATGAGCCATGGCGCTATTAAACATTACACAAGTATTAAGGAGGAGGGAGTTTAAGGGGGAAAGTTCTGCCCAGGCGTGAGTTGGTAATTTATCGGTGCTGTGTAATTTCATCTGATGGGTGGTAAATGCCAGAGGCCAGATCACATGACTGGAAAACTGGGCTACTGATTAGCCAGTCTGCATTTGGGATGAAATCAAACTTGCTGCATTTAGGTGGAATCACCCATTTTGCAATTACCCAATGAGGAAAATATGAAAACATGAAGTGTGTGTTGGCAAAGCTCCTTCACCCGAGTGAAGTAGATAGCCCTGCAGTGGAGGAGCACGTAATTGTCAAAGCCACAATCTCTCACAACAACGCAGCCTTTGGCCACAGTGAGGAACCACAGCTCAATGACTGTGTTTAAGAGAGATGTCGGGGCTGAAACCCCTTCGAAATCCAGGTTGGATAAAAAGAGCTCTCCCTGCAGAAGCTCATGCTGCGGAAGCATGCTGCGGGGTTGCTAATGTAACATGTCTATAAACTCAGGTGGTGATGGGACTGAACATAAAAATTCAAAGCAGGAAAAGAAGTTTTATTTCTAAACTACTTAAGCCCAACTTCTCTTCACCTGCAGAATAAAATGCAAACTCCTCGGCCCCACCTGGGCAGGCCTTTCATAACCAGAGCTTACCTCCATTCAAGCCTCATCTCTTGCCACTTCACTCACAGGTCCCATCTACAGTCAGACTAAGGCTCTTCAAACATATCCTTCTTTGTTCTTCTGTGACTCTGAACAAGCCATTCTGCTTGGGGATGTTGTATTGTCCCCTCCTTTTAGCCAAGTAAATTGCTCATCCTTTAAGAACCAATACAAATGTCACCTGCTTTGAGGTCTTCTTGCTCTTCCAGGCAGGGTAAGTGCCTTTTCAGCATGTTATTTATATCCATTATGTGACTTGCTATTTTGCACTGTAATTATGTCCGTGCCTGTCTTCCTTCCTAGACTGCATGCTCCTAAGCATAGGGACTGTGATGCACTAATCTTTGTATGTAAGGCTGAGATTGGTGGCCAGCCCTTGTTAAGTGTACAATAAATGTTTATTGAGTTAAAAAAAACACCCCACATAGAATATTATATATACAGTTGATCAAAAGAAGGTCTTCACAGGGGACCACCTACACAGAAAGTGTTATTCAGAGGCTCCCACAGAGCTGGTAGAAGCTTTAATGGGAGAGAGATTGTACTTAGAAGGCTCTCAATAATGATGAATGGAGGGCTGTCTTCTTGTCTCTGATTGTGAACTGCTTTACATGAAAATCTCATATGTCACCCATTAAGCTGAACCACACAAACTTCCTGATTCTGTAGGTCAGAAATGGTAAAATATTGTGAGTTTTGTATTGTTTAACTTAATAGTTTTTTGTATCATGATTATTAATTGTGAAAGTTCACACACAAAAAAACTTCCTTTTGTGTGAGAATGAACTTAAAGATGAAAAGAGGGATGCAGACAAGTAGGCTACAGGGTATTTCCAGAAAATGATAGTTGATAATTAGCAAAAAATTCAGTGACACGCGTAACAGTGGGCGTTCTTTCTCCCATACCCATGCCGACAGCTAAAGCATGCCCTTGGACTGTCAGACCTCTCTACCCATAGAGACCAATCTTCTTGGTTTGGTCTATAGAAGGGCTGTATTTTACGCTGACCACTCCCAGTGGGCCATCCAACCTTTCTGAAATATGGCACTAAGTGATGTTCAAGTGGGCGAGGCAAGGATTAAGGTCTCATAAATTCTAATCCTAGATGTGCAATTCACTTGAAGAGAGATCTTGGACAATCCAGGAACAAATCAGGTTCTTAAGGCTGCATCTCCTCACTTGTTATGGATGTAAATTACACTGCGTTTCATTGAGTCTAAGGCATCATCAATTGGAAGAGGCACTGATATTTTACATACCAAAGAGAGGAAAACAAATGGTGTCAATGTGATCTAAAGCTGTATTTTATACTTATGAGAACTGTTCTTTTAAACTTATTTACATGTAGGTCTTTTGCAAACATAAAAAGGAAACAGAAGAGGAATATATTGGCCAAGCCTTTCCAGAAACCTCTTCACATTCAGAGTTTGACTTCCCCGGGATGCTCTAACTCAGTGTGTTTGGTGCCCACGCTCCCCCTCACGCAGCCTGTCCTCTGTGGGGCCCAGAACCCTGGGAATGCACCATTTCTCACAAGAGGGCTCCACTGAATTGCCCTTTCTGGGGGTTTCTTCAGAGCCACTGACACTTGTTCCATAAGTTCTGATTGTGCACTTTTTCATCCACAAAAAAGAAAAGTTTTCAAGCAGCAACTGGGATTCACATTCTTTTCTCCTTAAAGAATTCATTAATCGCCCTAGCCAGTTTGGCTCAGTGGATAGAG